CCATTGCGTCTACAACTTCTTGGAATTGAGGTTGTAAGTTTATGAACCACCTATCCGGATTAGCTTTATGACCCCATCCTCATTGTAGTTTCCATAGTCTGCAGAAACAAAAGTAGGTTTGTTTTCCATATTGGTTAGGTTCTGAATGAACTTTAAACAATGTTTCATTTCTATATGTTTTGTTGAAATTTAACCTTTTATTTTCACCGAGTTCAGCCAAAGATTGAACGTTATATGGTCGTAAGTAAAAAGGATTATTGTATTTGCGTACATTTTCTTTCAGTACTTCCATTCTATGCTGAATATTTTCATCTGATGTTGGAGTCTTTTGTATGTCGGTGAACATTTTTCGATATCCTTCTACTATGTCAGCCGAATTTTTCTTAGACTCTTGGAAAGATTCCATATTCACCTCATACTCTTGTTGAGGGTCAAAGATTTTCGGCTGTTCCAAATCTTCATCTAGTTCTGTGAAGTTAGTTTCCAAAGGAGGGACTTGTTCGTTTCCTTCAGGCTCTTCTAGCTGTTGTTGCTGAACTATTTCTTCCATGTCTGGTTGTATCTGAACTTCTTCCTGTTGAGTTTCTTTGTACCCTCATCTGCTGGCATTTCATATATTCCGAGACCGTTTTTAACAAGTTCCCTATCTAATCATCCGGACTCATAAAACCTTTCTTCTTTCGTTCCGTCTCTATTTTTTACGCGTTTTCATGAAGAGAGTTGAATTATCATTTAGCTCTGACATCAAATATCTCGGAGTAAATTCATCCATGTCATTTGATGATATGCTATTAAATCATATCCCTTAGCGAGCTTGTATTTTCCAGGTTTGAGATTATATCCGTTTGATGCTGAACCATAAAGCTAATAGGTTCGGGTCAGTATTTCCTTCCTTGAACTTTCTAATAGCTTCTTTATATCTGTCACTAAAGTCAAGAGTATCTGGGTAAACCATAATCTTCCTTAAGCATTTTTAAGAATTCTTGGTTTCCTTTTTCTCTACTTCTTTTATGTCCTTGCTCTGTTTGTGGTTGCTGTGCTGGTTGTGGAGGTGGTTGTTGTGCAGGGTTTTGAACTGTTGGTTGCTGTGTTGGTTGTTGTTGTGGTGCTGGATTTTGAACTGTTGGTTGCTGTGCTGGATTTTGAACTGTTGGTTTTGGTTGTTGTTGTGGTGCTGGATTTTGAACTGTTGGCTGTTGTGTTGGTTTTGGTGCATGCCTGTGTCTGTGTCCATGTGACGATGTAAATGTTTTAGGTAGTCCTGGTGCAGGTGCTTCTCTTGGAGGGTTTGGTGGTATATAAGTTCCACCAGCTGGCACATATGTTCCATCTGCAGCATAATGTCCTACCTGACTTTTCGTTCTTAAGAAAGCATTTACTAGGTCTGTTTTGGTCTGTTGTAACTCTTTTTCTTGACTTTCCACAACAGCTGCTCTAACGGCGTCATAGGCACTTTGAACTGCCTGTCTCGTTGCTGCATCTGTTATTTTCGTCATATTTTGTGCTACTTCTCTTAACTCTTTGTCGAAACCTTCAGACTTCAGTTTCTTTCCAGATGAGAAGTCGTTCACTAGTTTCACCTTACTATGAAGAGCTTCGAAGGCAATCTTAAATTCAGCATTTATTAAAGCTTCATTTGAACTGTCTTCATCCGCTTGTATTTTTGTCCTTATTGACCCTATAAGTTGGGCTGCTTTAGCGTTGGCTTGGGCATCTAACCAGTCATTATTAGCTTTTATATATTCTGCGCTTTTCATTGCCTTTTACATGGCTGCGTCGTTATTTTTACTTTCTTGTGCTAAGTTTTCATGCTGTACGGTTTGGTTTTGCAACTGTAAAAGTTTTTCTGCCTTTACATTTGCTTCAACTTCTTTTTTATACTCATCGCTATCCATATATGTCTTCATGGCTTTTTGTTTTATCTCTTCATCTTTCAGTACTTTATATTGAGTAGTATGGTTTTTCAAATTTATAACATCTTGTTCCATTTTTGCTACTTCTGCTGCTTTTTCTGACACTTTTTTCGCATATTCCTCTGTACTTAGTTCTTTCAGTTGTTCTTCTTTCTTCTTTTTCTCTACGTTTAACTCATTTAGTTTCTTTGTCTGTCTGTCATATTCTAGTTTCTTTTCGTTTTCACTTATTTGTTTCTGTATGTCTATGTTTGACTTTTTGACATCTGTTATTTGATTTTTGAGTGAACTCAAATTCATTTGACTTTGAGGGTTATAAGCTGTTCCGTCTGCAGCTCCACCATAGCCTGCCATTTTCGCTAAAAGTGCCGCTCTTAAACCTCCACTCTGTGCACCAATAACTCGGTTTAAAAGCATAGGGTTGCTTGACATTTGTTGCAACATAGTGGGGTCATTCATCATTTGTTGTTGCAACTGTTGTTGTGGTGTCAGTTTTACTATTGCATGTTTCAATGCTCCCTTCCTCTTACGTATATTCTTACGTAGCTTACGTGGCATTTTAAGTGAAGTTAAAAAGCGGTTTTTGACAGATGTTTATATGACACTTTTTGTTCAGCACAAAAAACTACTCGGTCAAAGTGTTGTCAGTTTCGTAAAATAACCGTCCTATCTCATTCTATAAGGGGGAAAAGGCTTCTCAAAGTATACTTCCTTGGAACGCCTGTAACTTTTCCTGTAGCGACGATAGACCCTTACTTGTCCGGACAAAGTTATACTATTTTGAGTGCTCTACAAAAAAGTCACCGGCTGGCTCGTCCTCAGAAATTTTTTATGGGCTAGAGGGCGCAACGCGCCTGGAAGCCCCACTACTTTTTTTTATTGCATATGTGCTTTAATGGTATAGTAATAAAAATATGAATTCCAAATAATATACAAAACTATTTAAAGTACTCACAAAATCTAGATTGAGAGGCGGTCAATGACTTTTGAGGGGAAATTAACGCATGGAATTTAATATTATTTAGGTTGATATTCTTGCTTATTATTTCACAAAAAAATCTTAAAAATTTCAATATGAAAATTGAAAGCAATTCAAAAAAATTGCTAACATGTAAATTTTAATATCCTATGCATAATTTCATATTTTGAACATTTTTTATTTTTGTTTAAAACTTAAAATTTTGCGAATTTAATATAATTTATAAAATATAATACGTATATATATTTAAAATACACTAAATTTAATTGTTAATTGACGTTTTTGGGAATGAATTTTATCAAAACATGCCTGAATCCGAAAATTTGAAAGAACAAATTACACAATCATATATGTAGAATTCAAAATACAAACTTAAAGATTGTATACGTTTAAAATTATTCAGATTGTGTTTGATTTTCACTCATTCTGTTTCTTTTGAACTCTAACACTAACATTTCATGATGATTACATGATCCATTTATACATGGTTGAATTGTTCCAGATTCTACCAGAAAATCAATCCAAATTTCTCAATGCATTCATGTTGATTGGACAAAATTTAAAATTTATCAGCCTGTTTCCAGAGAAACTCATATATTCCCTAATGAAATGTAATTTTTGCTACATTTATTTCAATCAAATTTCAAAAAATTGACTGCAGAGCTTGAAAAGGTGATGAATCATGTTGTTATTAGATGTACATATTAGATTTACTATTTCCAAAAAATACTCAAATTTGAATAGTTTTTAGAAAATTTGGAATTACACTCCTTACATTATATATAATTAAATGTTTGAATTTTATTTATTTTTCCCTTTTAATTTTATAACGTGCTCTATCAAAACTAACCTCTCAATTGAAGGCCACAAAATCTAAGTAGTGAGGGTACACAAATTTTGTATGGAGTACGGTTCAATTTTTGAGAGCCTCACTACTTAGATTTTGTGACTACCTTATAATAACAAGAATCATATAGGTGGAGTAATTGTATCTAATATTGTATCTGATATATTACTACTTCTTGTTTCGTCCTCATCGGTCTTATAAGATTTTGATAAAATAACCATAATTATTAAAATTTCGAAATTTTCAAGGTATAAATGGAATACTTGGAGGCCATGGTGCAGCCACAAAAATTTATATGGATTTTTATATTCTAATCTCAGAAATACAACTGTAGGTAAAAATGTTGCAGATGATAAATCGAAAAATGTCTGAAAAGAGAAAAGAAACATTAAGAGTTTGATATAGAAAACAATGTTATTTGGAAAGTAATGCATGATGTTTGAAAAAATAAAACAAATTGAAAGAACCAAAATTCCCATTGAATTTGTGAAGCAAAATGCTGGAATTTGAAGCTTATTGTATATCCTTTTGAATAAAATTCTTTAAGTTTCGGGGCCACACTGAAATCAAGAAAGACAATGACTAGATGGAAAAATTGATATGCAATTAATAAATCTTGAATGACTTTGCATGAAAAATATATCAATTTTCCTAGTGGAGCCTGATAAATGTATAAGATCTTGCAAACTTGAACCAAGAAAATAAATTGACCAATTATTTTCCAAATTACTAAGAAATTAAATTGCTTATAGAATGCTGAATAATCCATGAACAGATAGGCTGAGTAAAAAAGGGTTTGGATGAAATATTGACCAAGGAAACAAAGAACTCCAAGAAAACTAAAGGAACATGCTGCACTTAAGTTGCTTCTCAGCTTTATATCTGACTTCCTCATTAAAGCTACCAGAAAGTAAAAGAATATTAGACAAAAAATAAGACATACGACCAAAGCAAAGTAAGATGATGGATGATTACATATAATAAGCCGGGAAAATGTGCATGGCTTGTCTCGAACAATCAGTCTCATTGTATAGGAAACTTTGAAAAATCCCATTGACTGAGTGACTATTCAAATATTGAAATATTGAATGACCGTCTGAATTTTACACAGTTCTACATCAAATCCAATTTGCTCAAAAAAGTTTACCCACTACTTAATCTTACTAAGCAGTTTTTTTTTAGAATTTCAGTTCCAATTGTTCGAGGAGGGAAAAAAAATTATTATTATTATTATTTTTATTATTATTATTATTATTATTTATTATTTTGGCTTATCATGAGCAAGTAATCTTTTACTTAAACCAATTCTTCTTGGTGGGGGAAGATTTAATTTTTGGCCTAAATTCAAAGAAACTCTATTAATTTTTGGAATATTAGTGTTAGATGTTTGATTCTTAGCCATGACTGCCTTTGGTTTTGCTTTCTTTGGTTCTGGTGCTCCTTTTGGTTTTGCAACTTTTTTCACAGGCTCTTCAGTTTCATCATCAAATGAAGCCTTGGTAGATTGTTCGAAATCATCACCACCATCGGAAAGTTCTCCAAAATCACAATCTTCAGAACTCATATTGGTAAATTGAGGAGAGCAACTTCACTTCCTCCTCCCCTTTCAATTTTACTTCCTCCAACCAAAACACTTTCTTTTACCGTTCTTTTTCCAAATATATAAGTAAAATGCAGTTTTCGAGGTGATTCTTTAATTATTTAAAATTTATTTTTTGAAACATTGTGAAAGCACTAGGTTTTACCAAACTTTTAAGATATGGTGATATAAATCATGTCTTTGCATTTAGATAAAAAACAAATTTTAATTTTTTTTTTGGTAAAAAAACATTATGCTTATTATAAGGACCACTAAAATCCCTTCGGAGGTCCATTCTTAATCTTTTCTCTAAGTTCCTTTTTGAATTCCTCTGATGAATATCTTTCTTCAATATTAACTTCAGGAATATCAGGGAATTGATATTCAGGAGCATCAAGGTTAATACCTGAACCGTATTTACTCTTTAATTTCTCAGGATCATATTTATCGGATTTATATTCTCCTTCAAGTATTTTCTCGATTTTATCAGACTTTTGACATCTAGCCAAGGTTATTCCATCTTGAGATGCATTATATTGCAATAATAAAGCTACAATTTCATGAAATCCTAAATCAATTGCAAGTTGAAGAGGAACAGGTATAATATCAAGGTTTGTTCTATTAACATCAGCTCCAAGTTTAAGTAGTTCCCATACACAATCAAATGATCTAGTTAGAACTGAAATTTGCAAAGGTGTTTCGCATTGGAACATTGATGAATCTATATTACTTCCAGCATCAATTAACATCCTCATTGATTCAACATCATTAATTAAACATGATAAATGTAAAGGAGGATAAGATCGGCTTTTTTCGTTAACATTAGCCTTTTCTTCTAGTAGGAACTTTACAGATTTATTTTTTCCGTAGTATGCAGCCAGTTGCAATGGTGTTGGATATTTCAGATCAAATTTTGAACCTTGGATGGTAATTGGCATGATAAAATTAGCTAGAAGATGAATATTTAGCATATTTCTTAGCTCATCAATGTTTTCTTCCATGATAAGCTTGCCCAACTTAAAAATCGACATTATAGAGAAAATTTGCCACCAATGTTATCTTTTGAAAATGGTCTTCATATGATAAAATGACAAGATGCTTTTAAAGATTCATAGTAATAAAAATTAGTATGCTGAGCTATGAAATTATAAAGCCAATATGAAATATTTTGTAACAAGTACTTACTGCCTTAGATAAAAATGTCAAAGAAAAATCAACGCATTACACAGATATTGTCTTAAGACAATTATTCCTTATGAATTTTCCAAAAACCAAACACTATAATCATTTTAAATAATAATAAAAAACATTATCAAATAAAGTGCATAATTCCAAATTATAAACCGGATTTCCTTTCTTTTCAACACCATGTAAATTTTTGTAAACACTAACAAACGTGAGAATTTCGATTGCCCATAAAGTTTTGAAATTCTTCACGAGATGGAATAGGATATCCAAGTTCTGGGTAGATTCCCTGTGCGACTTCATCCTTGAGCCTGTTACGTAACATGCATAGTTCATGAACAACTTCACGGGATTCCTGGTGTCTTGATGCATAATCCCTTGCAATAACATCGAGTATTCCAGCCCAGTGATATACAATCTTTTTGTCAGGATAATCACTAACATAAGTACGTCCCTGCTCGTCAACCATCATATGACTCCAAATCATGAGAGCAATAGCTTGGCGGAGTACACTGAGTTTTTCCATGAGACTTTTGTTTGATGTATCTCTCCTTCTTTCTTCTGCATAATAGAGTTTGAGAATAAAATTCATGACATAAACTCTAAGCCCTTCTGATTGTGCATGAATATATTTGTCGTAAATGTAATTTGCAAAAGGATGTGGATTGTGAGTTCTCTCTCCAATATGAGCTGCAATTTCATCTGGTAAAATTACCACCATAGAATCATCTGCGATCTCTTCAATCTCTTCCTCCTCTTCAGGCTCCTCGAGACAGCCAAAGGTGTTTGGCATAATAAAAAATGAAGTAAATTTTGAGATTTCTAAAATCTACTCTTGTCGGTCAAAGTTTTGCAATCGCATTCTGATTGCATAAGATTGTGCCATTCTGGGAGACATTGCATATGCATGTCTCCCAGAATGACATATGCAGACCGACAAGAGTGTAATATACACTCTTGTCGGTCAAAGTTCCGCAATCAGAATAAGATTGCGGAACAGTGTGCCATTCTGCATATCTCTTGAATTATTCACTATTTAGTTGGCGCAAAGCGCCAACCAAATAATTAAGAATACTAATATATGTTTACTTAAAATATGATTAAAATCTCTGAACGAAAACTATCAAAATATAGGATGATAATTTATTGTAAATTCATAACGTAAAAAGTGTGGGTGTTGTCCTCTATATATAATGTCTTGATTCTATCAGCACGATAGAATTAAATGAAAATGTCGAATTTCATGCAAAACATTATAAAAAAATCAGCCTCTGGGGGACTTAAACCCAAAATTAATAGTGTGGGAATCCATCCTGAAATCAACTTCGAAGAGTGAAGATAAAAAGTATTATATAATTAACATAAGACTTTTAAAAAAATGTTTTCTGTCATAGCTTCGTAGCAGAACGGATAATGCGTCTCCCTTCTAAGGAGAAGATTGGGGGTTCAAGTCCCCCCGAAGCTGATTTTTTTAATAAAATTTGTTCTGAAAAGTGACACAATAAATGTATTTCATGATATTTGAACATCTCAAAGATTTATCACATATTGGACAGTATCAATGACCAATTTATGTAAATTATACTTAACAGAATCTTTCAAAAATGAGTTACCCTCTAATTTTTGAGATAATTATTAGATTTAAATAATCTAAGCAAATTTTGGTAATGCATAAATAAGGTTCTCTACAGTAAGATATTTATAAACGAATACTGTTTCGTGATGCATAAACTTTTCAAAATAATGAACAATGGGAATTCAAATTTCTCAACGTTTGAATGGGATACAAAAATCAAAAATGCTTAGGTGAATTAATAGCATGCTTTAAACAACAACGTGTTTCGTTTGACCAAAATTTGAATTGACCAGAATTTTGAAGGCAATTTTGGTGGTTTCGAATTAGTCCCACTAGATTGAAGATACTTTTATAACCTCAGGAAATTCAATTTAGGTAAGATTTTCCAAAATTTTTAAGAAAAAAGGCAAAATTTTATGTTATTCTATATAAGAATATGATTCCAAGATCATATTACAATTAAAATCAATTCGGTTTTGCCAATAAAAACCGTTTCTAACATATTTTGAGAGTAGAACAATATCTTCTCAATTTAACCACCTCAAAAATATGTTTGCCGCTCTTCTTTGCGTTCGCCAATTTAGGCGAGTTCCAAATTTCCATCAAAGGATCCCACAATATCGTTCAGTACGCTCACCAAAGCTTCTTCCTAGAGAATTAGAAGAATCCCGTCCACGTCATATCCAAAGAGTTCATCGTCACCATCATAGATATCCAACACGTGGTGCTGAGGAAAACGTTTATGTTCCATTCCTTGGAGAAGTCCAATTACCAACTCTTCCAACAATTCAGCTTCCAAAGATCGAAATACCAAAGATCGAAATTCCAAAGGTCACATTACCATCACTTCCATCTATCCAGTTGCCGACACTTCCATCCATCCAATTGCCAACAGTCCCATCAATCCAATTACCAACAATTCCAGGTCTTCCAACAATTGCACCTGCCGCTGCAGCACCAGATGTAACTCCAGCCGCAACAGGCATTGTCAATGATGACCAAATGAGAAGAATGGGTTGGACAAACTACAATCTTGCCGATCTCAACAACTGCCTTAACAGATTTTCAATCAACACACCACCAAGAATTCGCCACTTCATTTCTCAGTGCTCACATGAATCTGGCAACGGCCGCTGGACACGTGAAATCGCTGATGGTTCTGCATACAATGGCCGCTATGACCTCGGAAACACACAACCAGGCGATGGTCCACGTTTCAAAGGCGCTGGTTACCTTCAATTAACTGGCCGCAATAACTATCAGGCTTTCGCTAACTACATGAATGATCAGAACATCATGCAAGGCGTTAACTACGTTGCTGATAAATATCCATGGACATGCAGTGGATTCTGGTGGATGCGCAACGGAATGAACGCTCTTTGCGACAATGGAGCAAGCTGCAATGAAGTTACACGCCGTGTTAATGGTGGTTACAATGGACTTGCCGATCGCCGCGCTAAGTATCAACTTGCTTGCACCATCTTCTAAAATAAAATTTCTAAAAAATAGTCTAAATTAAAATAATTTAGATTTTTTAATTGTAAATATTAAAATTGTTATTAAAAAATTTTTGAAAATGATTTTTTTAGTTAAAATTTCAAATGTTTTTAGACTTGAACACTATTTTCCATAGCTGTGTCTTCATGAATTTGAGTATCACTTGATTCATTTTCTTCTGAAATTCTCTTCTTTAAGATTAAGAAAATTATAATGCAAATTATTGCTATGAGTACCAAAGCTCCAACTATACCACCAGCGATAGCTCCTACTTTAACTTTATTTGTTGGATCCTTACTATTTGAATTATCATCACTACTAGGACTATCTTTTCCTGTATTATCTTCTCCACTAGGACTTTCTTTTCCGTCGTTATTATTTCTCTCGCTCGGATTTTCTTTTTCAGGATCTTCCTTACCAGGATTTTCTTTTTCAGGATCATTTTTATCAGGATTTTCTGTATCTTCATTATCCGAAGCAAATTTGTAATTTCCGATTTTAGAATTTACTAGAACCTCTTGTGTATCCTGAGAGTCTTTCACTGCAAATGTCATATCAATATTGGATTTAGGATCTATTAACTGAACACTATAAACGAGTAGACCTTTCTGATCGATATCTAGGGCCTTTCTCAAATTTGAATATCCATAGATATTATAAATCTCAAAATTGACTTTAGATAAATCATAATCTACTGATTGGCAAATTCCTTTTCCATCAAATGACCCCATTACAACAACAACCTTTTTTGAGACTTCTAATTTGTAATCGGCATTGTTTGATGTTCCGAGCGTGATATTTTGATTACCAAGCAAGTAAATGAAATCATCTGCTTGAATTATAGATAATCGAAAGAGAAGTACTGTTATTTCAACATCACCGAACCAACATAACTTTCCATCTTCAGGGAAATCTATAGCATTAATTCTATTATCAAGTAATGTATAATTCTTATTTCCAATTTCTGCATAAGCTGTGACGGAGTTTGCATTTGAAACATGACTTAATATAGCTTGATATCCTGCCGAAACATTGCATATTGCACTTTTCAATGTTGTCCTTCCAACATTAAGTATGATGGGATGCGTATCATATTTGAAAAGCTTAGTTCTTATTGCCACTTTATTTGTCTGATATGTGACCTTTATTGTTATATTATATTCTTCACCAAATTTAAATTGCCCTCGTAGATCGAAGTCGTGATATGTAAATGACTCAAAATGGTCATAATCTAGTTGAGTGAATTCCAGCTCTTCTGTTTTTGAATTCTGCATTACTGAATAATACATTTTGGCTGGATAAGCAATTTCCCTTGATGCTGTTAAACCAACTTTGAAAAACTTTTCATCAGTTGCAAAAACTTTAAAATCAAATATAATTGGTGGCATTAATCTGTGCACTATTATAATATCCTGCGTAATACTGGAATTTTCAACAAACTTCACATGTAAAGCAAAATCGACATTTCCCGAAACAATAGGAAGATCTAATGAAAAGTCTACATGTGCTGCAGAAGTAATGTTCAGTAACTTATATTTGTTTCCATCTGAATAATCTACAAAATAAAATTCTCTTTCTGCAAAAGCTACCACACTATATTCATCATTTACCCTGCATTTGACAATTACTTTTTCTCCTTGAATCGGATTCCCTTGTTCTAGATTACAATTAAAATAAAATTCTTTTACTGTGGTTCCTATTTGTTCAATATAATATCTGCCAAATTTATCAATAAATTTGAATTCATAATCTTCTATATCTTGATCAAGAAACTCTACATAAAAATTTTTGTCTTTATCTAATTGAGATATTGATGTGACGTTTCTGTATTCATCATTTTTATTAGCATCATGATATTGAACTCTTAAAGTTTCGAAATCACATGTATAATCTAATTTAAACTTGATTGAAAATCTAGAATATTTCTCATGTTTGTAATAAAAATTGTTATATCTAATTTTTGGTTTGGGAACAATTTTAATATCTGTAATATCACAGTATTTAATAATATCTTCATTATTTGAATTGATCATTGCAAAAGATATTTCTGTTTTTTCTTCGGTTTGTTCTGGAATTGAAACATAAACATTGAATTCATTATCATAGCCAACTTCTTCCATACGTAAAGCATGTTTGAATTCGCTATCAAAAGAACTTTCGTATCGACCAATTTTTGCTTTATAGATGACAGGATATGTTTCAATGTTATCGATATTGCATTTAAATAAATGTTCTTGTCCATCAGGAATCATATCTTGTGTCTTACGACATGATATTGAGCTTTCTGTGACAATTCTTCCCTGTGTGACTGTGATCGGGATTGTGAAAAGTGATGATTCTTGACCAGATGGATCTACAATTACAATCAATAAATTCTTTTGACCGATCTCAACATTATTCGGAATTATCAACCGAATTGTATAATCATTGTCTGTATTCGGAACTTTCTTTGGTTTATAATTGTTAATAATTGTTGGATTTGACATTTGATTAACATTTTGATCAACAAATTCAAACTTAAATATTGAATCTTCCATTGCATCTGCTTTTCTTCTTCTAACATTCAATGTTAACCTTGTATTTGTTTTATGTTCAATATTTGGATTCGCATCTGAAATGGATTCGATATCTATAGGCATCAGAATTCTGAAATCAATAGTTTTATGAATGATTATAGTCTCGCTATAAACAAATGCAAAAGTAATTTGTGTTGGTAATGTTCCTTGAGTATTATAGCTGATTTTATCACCTAATTCAATCGAATAACTATAACCTGCATCACTTGAATCCAAATCAAAATTATAGTTTGAAATTGAACCGTCATATTCCCCAAATTTTGCAATTGTTTGGATGGTTCCAGAATATATGCCTGAATCAACATCAATATTTCCTTCTATTTTGCCAGTTAATGGCAAATAATGATTGATTTTAATACTCAAACCAAATGTTTTAAAGCTAATACCAATAAGACAAGTTTGGCTTTTATGTCTGAATACGATATTCCCATAAATTTCCCTTGAGTTTTTATTGAAACTGAAACGGAATTTTTTGCTCTCCCCAGGTAAAGGGACAATTGTACCCTTTTTAGATTCAAAATCAACTGATAAATGTTCATAATAGACTTGATTCTTGAAAGTAACTGTCCCAGTAAAATTGTATTCATTTAATGTGTAATATAAATCGTTTTCATTTTTTGGGCTAAAGATTTCATAAGTTTCATATGTTAACTCAGGTAAAAGCTTTAAACCATTAATTTCCGAGTGATTTAAAAATTGTAATGTTTCATTATCTACTATGGCAAATGTAATTTTGTTTTCTATTTTAGTTTGGGAAGATGGAATACTACAATTAGTCCACAAATCATATTTTATACTTGATTCCTCGACTAATGTGTATTCAGATATATCAATTGAATAATCACCTGTTTTATACATTAATTTGAAAAATGGAACAGATGGCTTGGCTTGAATTAGCACATAAATATAATCAGACGCATCATATAATACTTCTTGGCCACGAAATGTCAAGACTAATTCATTTTCGATATCAGGGTGTATTAGCGTTTTTCTCTCTAAAACTATATTAGAGACTTTTTCAACATCACCATCGATATAATGAAAACGAGAAACAATATAATAATCTCCATCTTGTATAGTAGATGGAATGAAGAAAAATATTGCTTCATTATCTACTTGGGAAAGTAGTGAATTTTCTGGATAAACAATTTCACTTTCATTTTGGGCGGAAACGAGTGCAACATCATATTTAGTAGTTCCAACTCCATAGTATTTTTTCTCAAATTCCTTAGTTGGATAAAAATAATTCCATCAATTTATATATACTTCAAATCCTCTGTTTATAATTATTGAATTTAGTTTTGGTTCCCCAACAAAATGTATATTTTGAAGAAACTGGTTTTCATTATTATATTTTAGATTCATTTTTGTGAATTCTTTTTCTTCTGAAACTTGAAATGTTAAAGTATTTGGACTTAAAAATGTAGTTTCATATTCTTCCGAGAAAGTAAATATGAATTCACCTCCAGTTAAATAGACTTTATAATTTATATCTTCTGATAATCCAGTACATGTTAATGAGATGTTCTCGTGAAAACGCAGCCTTGTCTTAATTTCTTCGCATACTATATTTTGTCGTGTTAAGTAGGCGAAAAGGAGTATCATCATTTCGAATCTTTGGAAATTATTTGATTCAATTTATTGAATTCGGTTTAAAATTCACCGGAATTATGTTATAAAATTATATATAGGTATTTGTCATAATAAAAAGATAAAATTCAATCAAAGTTCATTCAAAAGCTTCCAATTTCTCTGAATATTTTGAGGCATTTTGAAAGTAAATTAAACTCCTATTTGATATATTCGGTTTTTATTAAAATTTTAAAAAAGAAATTTGATTGCATCTCTCAATTAACGAAATGAACTCAAAATTTGAAGAGGTAATTGAAATCATTATAATGATAAAAGAACACATATATGACTATATCGCGATTTTATTCTGATCAAAATGTTAATATAATCTGATTGCAATTGGATAAAATTTCACTTCCAAAAATCATCTCATTTCGTAAGGAATTTCGGACTAATTTGCAGAGTTATTTGATCTGAAAAGATTAATTCGACAAAAATCTTCCAAATTTTTAATTTAAAGAATGATTTAGGATTTTATGTCAAAATATAATTGAATTTGCCTGTGATTAACTGAATGGATGATATCACTAATCATTGCAAGAGCACAAATTTTCAGAACTTTCCAGACGTTGAAGAAAACTATAACAAGCAAAATATTTCGGATTTTTTTGCAAATATAACTAAATGGGGCTATTCTATTCGGTTTTTGATATTAAAATGCTAAAATCTTCAGAGAGTGAATTTTTATAAGAATTTGAAAACGTGACATATCAGATATCTTCTCCGAGTGAAAAATTATATGACGAAAAACAAAATATTTTCAAAATCAACAATGAGTCCCATCGTATATTGAACAGAATAAGCAATGCTTCTCTGAAATTTGTCTTCTAAACGATTTTATTGTACCAATTCATCTTCTAATTCTAGTCACATGAGTTGATTTTTTTTTCCATTAAAAAAATTAGCGAATTTAGGTAAACTCAAAATCGATTTTTTAGTCGTAATTTTAAATTTTTAGACTTGTAAAGTTTCATGGATCGGTTCTGTACTCGATTCATTTTCATACAGATTCTTCTTCTTAATGATAAAGAAAGCTATTACGCAAACAATTACGATGGCTATCAATGCTCCAACTATACCACCAGCAATAGCTCCTGCTTTGCCCTTATTTGGTGGATCGCTACTATTTGAATTATCATCTCCCCTAGGGGTAGTTTCTATTGGTTTTTTATCACCTGGATTTTCTCTCTCACTTGAACTTTCTTTTCCATTGGGTTTATTTTTCCCATCAGGATTCTCCTCACCAGGTTTTTCTTCTGGTTGATTAGAATTTTCGTTAGCAAATTTGTAATTACCTATTTTTGAATTAATTAAAATAGCTTTGTAATCCTGAGAACATCTTGTTTCAAATTCAATATCAAAAATATAATTCGGATCTATCCATTGGTATTTATAAATTAGGAGATTTTGGACATTTAATATTTTTCTTATACTTGATTGAGAGTTTCCTGTTAAATTATATGAAATTTCTCGTACCATTGCTGTGTTGTACTCATTGTGAGAAGAAAATCTCATTCCATCAAATGATCCCATGACAAGAACAACTGATTTTGGAAATTCGAGTTTGTAATTGGAATTGTTTGAAGTACCAATTGTGAGTTTTTGATTACCAATCATGTAAATGATATCATCTGCTTGTATATTAGATATCGAAAGTACTATTACTGATATTGGATAATTTCCGTAACAATACAATGTTCCAGCTTGAGTGAAATCAACAGCAATCGAATTATTTTGGAGTAATGTATAATTCTTATTACCAATTTCTGCATAAACATTAACTCCAGTTGGATCTGAAATTGGAGAAAGTATAACTTGATATCCTGCAGATACTCGGCATATTGTATTTTTCAATTCTTTCCTTCCAACTTCAAGATCAATAATATTCTTATCATATTTGAAGAGTTTAGTCTTTTTTGCAACTCTTGAATATGGTAAATTGATGTAAATTGTTATATTATATTCTCCAAATGTGAACCTTTCATAATGATAAACTTCAGTATATAATAGATCTCCTTGAAAATATGAAGATAAAAATTTATCCTCTCCTGCTTGAGAAGTCTGGCGAATTAAATGATATATATAACCTACATAAAGAGTTTCTTCTGATGCTGTAATACCTATTTTGAAATGATATGGAGTTGTTTCAATAACATCAAAATCAATCTTTAATGGTGGTTTCAATCCTTTGTAAACAATAAGATCTTGAGCTATGCTTGGATTTTCAACACCTACAATGTGAATTGTAACATTGGTGATTTCAGAAATAATAGGAAGTTCTATTGAAAACTTGACAGACCATTCAGATGAAGTGTTCACTAGTTTATATTTATTTCCATCTGAATAATCTTCAAAATAAAATTTGCGTTCTGCAATTGCAGAAGGGTTATGTCCATATAATTCACATTTGAAGTTATATTTTTCACCTTGAATTGGCGAGCTATGTATCAAATTACATTCATAATATTTGTAATTGTCTACCATATAATGATATTTTATGGTAATATATCTGTCAAACTCGTCAATAAATTTGAATTCAACTTCTCTAATTTCAAGAGCAACAATTTTCACAACAAAAATATTGTTCTCATCTAATGAGGATATTGAAATTACATTCTGATAATCACCATTGTTAAATGAATCGCGATATTGAACTCTTAAAGTTTCGAAATTGCATATATAATTTAATTTGAACTCAATCGGTAATCGAGCATAAAGTTCGGAAAATCCAGTGTTACTATCTAAAACAATAGATGGCTTGGGAACAATTTTAATATCTGTAATATCACAGTATTTAATAATATCTTCATTATTTGAATTATTCATTGCAAAAGATATTTCTGTTTTTTCTTCGGTTTGTTCTGGAATTGAAACATAAACATTGAATTCATTATCATAGCCAACTTCTTCCATACGTAAAGCATGTTTGAATTCGCTATCAAAAGAACTTTCGTATCGTATCGACCAATTTTTGCTTTATAGATGACAGGATATGTTTCAATGTTATCGATATTGCATTTAAATAAATGTTCTTGTCCATCAGGAATCATATCTTGTGTCTTACGACATGATATTGAGCTTTCTGTGACAATTCTTCCCTGTGTGACTGTGATCGGGATTGTGAAAAGTGATGATTCTTGACCAGATGGATCTACAATTACAATCAATAAATTCTTTTGACCGATCTCAACATTATTCGGAATTATCAACCGAATTGTATAATCATTGTCTGTATTCGGAACTTTCTTTGGTTTATAATTGTTAATAATTGTTGGATTTGACATTTGATTAACATTTTGATCAACAAATTCAAACTTAAATATTGAATCTTCCATTGCATCTGCTTTTCTTCTTCTAACATTCAATGTTAACCTTGTATTTGTTTTATGTTCAATATTTGGATTCGCATCTGAAATGGATTCGATATCTATAGGCATCAGAATTCTGAAATCAATAGTTTTATGAATGATTATAGTCTCGCTATAAACAAATGCAAAAGTAATTTGTGTTGGTAATGTTCCTTGAGTATTATAGCTGATTTTATCACCTAATTCAATCGAATAACTATAACCTGCATCACTTGAATCCAAATCAAAATTATAGTTTGAAATTGAACCGTCATATTCCCCAAATTTTGCAATTGTTTGGATGGTTCCAGAATATATGCCTGAATCAACATCAATATTTCCTTCTATTTTGCCAGTTAATGGCAAATAATGATTGATTTTAATACTCAAACCAAATGTTTTTAAAGCTAATACCAATAAGACAAGTTTGGCTTTTATGTCTGAATACGATATTCCCATAAATTTCCCTTGAGTTTTTATTGAAACTGAAACGGAATTTTTTGCTCTCCCCAGGTAAAGGGACAATTGTACCCTTTTTAGATTCAAAATCAACTGATAAATGTTCATAATAGACTTGATTCTTGAAAGTAACTGTCCCAGTAAAATTGTATTCATTTAATGTGTAATATAAATCGTTTTCATTTTTTGGGCTAAAGATTTCATAAGTTTCATATGTTAACTCAGGTAAAAGCTTTAAACCATTAATTTCCGAGTGATTTAAAAATTGTAATGTTTCATTATCTACTATGGCAAATGTAATTTTGTTTTCTATTTTAGTTTGGGAAGATGGAATACTACAATTAGTCCACAAATCATATTTTATACTTGATTCCTCGACTAATGTGTATTCAGATATATCAATTGAATAATCACCTGTTT